TGGTCAGCGCCATCAGCTGATTAGCGCCAGCTGTGGCTTATCAGCTGGCCTATTTAATGTGTGTTTTCTTTCCTGTGTTGTCAGATCGTTTGATGTTGTTACCATGTTCAGTTCACGTCCCTCTGTTTCTGACCAGTTCCTGGAGTTTCCTTCTCTCCTCTGCCGTGGGCTTCGCTGCACAGATCCTCGAGCGTCGGCTGCTCGTTTGTGTCCCTGAGCTAGCCGGAGTTGCCTTCACCTTTCCCCTGTCTGACTCTCGACATCTTCCTTGTTAGGAATTCCCAATAAATGTTGTTTTTGCACATTTTTCCTTCTCTCCTCTGCCGTGGGCTTCGCTGCACAGATCCTCGAGCGTCGGCTGCTCGTTTGTGTCCCTGAGCTAGCCGGAGTTGCCTTCACCTTTCCCCGTCTGACTCTCGACATCTTCCTTGTTAGGAATTCCCAATAAATGTTGTTTTTGCACATTCGCTACTGAATCCTCATTCTTTCTCCCTGACAATGATTTCATGTTTCTGAACACACAGTGTACTTTGTTCAGTTACACTTTATTTTAAGGTGTCCTTGTTACAGTGTAATTATACATTTAAGTGCTGAGTAATATTAATTAACTACATGTACTTACTATATGGTTAGGATTAGGGTTTGGGTTACTTGCATGTAATTATGCATAATTAATTGTTATTATAATAGTAAGTACATGTAACGTGTAACAAGGCCACTTTAAAATAAAGTGTTACCCTTTGTTCAATTAAATGTAGTTTAAAGTACATTTTAAATCGTTGTTTTACCAATATTTTATCATGCTTTAAAGAATGTAAAGTAACTTGATTAAAATGTTTCTACTGCAGTGTGTTTGATATTGCAAGTTTTAATAAAAATGACAGTAACATTTTAGATTAGGAAACACTGTTCACTAGTTGCTTATTAGCATGCATATTACTAGCATGTTCGCTGTTTATTAATACTTATAAAGCACATATTAATGTCTTATTCTGCATGACCATATTCTAGATATCTTAACTCCACCCAATATATAAATTTAACTACAACAACTACCTTACTATCAATAAGCAGCAAATTAGTTTTTTGTGGGAAATGAGTTTATTGAGGGAAAACTCTTAGTTAATAGTGAATGTGTTTCCTAATCTAAAGTGTTACCAAAATGACATTAAAATATATTTTAGTTTATTATTAATGCTTGTCAATACATTCAGCAGTTTATACACAGTAGATACACTTTATCCATATTTCAAAGACAACAATTATGAAATTACATACTGTATAATGATACATTTTAGTGTGCCAAAAAGCACTCTTAAGTTCATTGCATTTAATATAAGTTTAAACTATAATACATTTTCATTTAATTGCAATTAATAAGCAATTAAGTGTCTGAAAACTGTATATATTAGTAGGAGTATATTCTATAGTATATTAAGTACATTATTTCCATTACATGATCTCTTTTTAAAAGTATGCTGAAGTGTATTTTTCACAAAGGTTACCATCAGACATCTAGCTAGAAATCGTTTTTTTTATTTGTTTATTGGCATAACTTCAGAACTTCATGTGATAAACTGATGTTGAGCCAGCAAAATGAAAATATTGACAAAATCAGTAACTGTTTTTGAAAGAACTGATGAGAGACTAATTGGTGTATGATAAGAGTATAAAATGCAATGCCTTGCACATTTTGCAGGAAATAAAAGAAGTAATCCTTTGACATTATGAAATTAGGCAAAAAAAAAATTATATATATATATATATATATATACATATACGGTGCCTTTGCGAAAGTATTCATACCCCTTTATTTTTTTCACGTTTTGTTTTGTTGCTGCCTTATGATAAACTGCTTTAAATTACTTTTTTCCACATCAATCTACACTCCATACACTATAATGACAAAGCAAAAACAGAATTGTCACAACTTTGTAAATGTATTAAAAATAAAAAAAACCTGAAATAAGTTAATTGCATAAGTATTCAAATAATAACTAAATATTTAGCTGAAGCACCTTTACAGTCTCAAGTCTTTTTTTGTTTGATGCGACAAGCTTTTCTCATCAGCATCTAGTATCTGCCATTCTTCTCCTCATCTCTTCACCTCTCAAGCTCTGTCAGGTTGGATGGGAGCAAATGCACATTTTCAGGTTTCTCCAGAAATATTTGATTGGGTTCAAGCTCAGGCTGTGGCTGGGCCACTCAAGGCCATTCACAGAGTTGTATATAAGCCACTCTTGCTGTGTGCTTAGGGTCATTGTCCTGTTGGAAGGTGAACCTTCTGCCCAGTCTGAGGTTCTGAATGCTCTGGACTGGTTTTCATTAAGGCTATCTCTATATTTTGCTGCACTGAGCGTTCCTTCTACTCTGACGAGTCCCTCGGTCCCTGCCGCTGAAAAACAGCCCCACAGCATGCTGTGTGCTACCAGCACACTTTACTTTTGGGATGCTACTCTGCAGGTGATGAGCAGTGCCTGTTTTCCTTCAAACATGATGTTTGGAATTGAGGTTCATCAGACCAGTGACTCTTGTTTCTCACAGTCTGAGGGTCCTTTAGGTGCCATTTTCAAATTCCAAGTGTGTTTTCATGTGTCTACACTGAGGAGAGGATTGAGTTTGGCCACACTGACATAAAGCACAGATCGGTGGAGTGTTTCAGTGGTGTTTGTCCTTCTGTAGGTTTCTTCTATCTCCACATATGATCATGGAGCTCAACTAGAGTGACCATCAGGTTCTTGTTCATCACTCTAACCAAAGCCCTTCTCCATCAGTTGCTCAGTTTGTCCAGGAGGCTCTAGGAAGAGTCCTGGTTGTTTCAAACTTCTTCCATTAAGGGTAATAGAGACTACATGGTTCTATGACCCTTCAATGAAGCAGAATGTTTTTCTGAACTCTTCCCCAGACGTGTGGCTTGACGCAAACCTGTTTCGGAGCTCTACAGTCAGTTCTTTTGACCTCAGGGCTTGGTTTTTGCTCTGATATGCATTATCAGCTGTTAGACCTTTAATTAAGATGTGTGTGCCTTTACAAATCATACACATTCAAATGAATTTGCCACAGCTTAACTTCACTCAAAGTGTAGTAACATCTACGCTCCTGAGCTAAATTTCAACTGTCCCAGATGAATATTTATGCAATGGAATCATTTAAGTTTTTTATTTTTAATAAATTTGCAAATATGTTAAAAAACAGTTTTTTGCTTTACCATTATGGTGCATGGAGTCTAGATTGATGTGGGGAAAACTAATTTAAAGCAGTTTAACACAAGGCAGCAACATAACAAAATGTGAAAAAATGCCTTTTGCAAGGCACTGTGTGTATATATATATAATGTGGAACACTAAAGAACTGGATGCTAAAGAATGAGCTGAAAGAGGCCATATCATGCACAGCTAAAAATATTTTCCTCTTGTGAAAAAAAGCTAACACACGCTGTTATGTGGACATACTCTAACATTCATATTGCAAAGCCCCCTCCTCAGTTTACCAAGCCTTTTACTGAAACTAAGCTGGCTTTTATAAGTTATGACAGTTATGATATTACAGTGAACACTGTAACACATGACTCATGTGGTCCATGTGTACTTCTTGGGGAAATTACTTTTAAAAGTAATGCATTACAGTATTGCGTTACTCCATAAAAAATAACTGTTTTACTTAGTTACTTTTTTTATGGAAAGTAATGCACAACATTACTTTTGCTTTACTTTTTTTGTCACCTGGGCTGGGCTTACTTATTTGTTTTTTAATAACAAAAAATCCAAAAGTTATATTTTTGGCAACTGTAAAAGCCCTTTCACACCAAAAGTGAAATGAATAAGCCTCAAGCTGAAGGAAATGCCTCTGCACTCACTCCTGATTTCTCTCAACACAGGGACCGGAGAGGAGTCAGGGAATAAATGGGAAAAAGTAACTGGCGTTACTTATTTGAAAAAGTAGCTCCGATATTTCATTGTAAATTTAGAAGTAATGCGTCACTTTACTAGTTACTTGAAAAAAGTAATCTGATTACGTAACTCGCGTTTCTTGTAATGCATTACCCCCAACACTGGATGCTACTAATTTTACATGCAAAGATGTTAGCCAATCATAACAGAGGTAATTTACATATATAACTCTTAGTTACCATATCAAAATATATAATAAATAAAAGTTATTTTGGTAACACTTTACAATAAGACGTCAATTATTAAGATTTGTTAATGTATTAACTAACATGAACTAACAACGAACAATACATTTATTACAGTATTTATTCATCTTTATTAATGTTAGTTAATGAAAATAGTTATTCATTGTTAGTTCATGTTAATTCACAGTGCATTAACTAATGTTAACAAATACAACGTTTGATTTTAATAATTTATCAGTAAATGTTAAAATTAACATTAACTACTGTTAACTAATGAACCTTATTGTAAAGTGTTACCGTAATTTTTGTATATATGCACTACTGTTAAAACATCTGCGATCAGTACAATTTGTTTTTGAAATAAATATCTTATATTCATTAAGGCTGCACTTATTTCATCAAAAATGTAGTAAAAACACAAATATTGTGAAATATTATTACAATTTAAAATAACTGTTTTCTATGTGAATATATTTTAAAATGTGTTTTATTCCTGTGATCAAAGCTGAATTTTCAGCATCGTTACTGCAGTCTTCAGTGTCACACGATCCTTCAGAAATCATTCTGATATCCTGATTTGCTGCTCAAGAAACATTTATTATTATTATTAATTTTGAAAACAGTTGTGCTGCTTCATATTTTGTGGAAACCTTTTTTTTCAGGATTCTTTGATTAATAAAAAGCTTAAAAGAACAGCATTTATTTGAAATAGAAATATTTTGTAACATATATTGTAATATTGTGTATAAATGTTTTACTGTTACTTTTGATTTATTTAATGCATCCTTGCTGAACAGTATTAAGTATTAATTTCTTTAAAAAACTAATCTTGCTGAACGGTAGTGTATGAAGCCTACATAAAGACTCACTGTCTCTGTAGGAGCTGCTGTTGTTGTTGTCTGTATGAATCCACTAACTGTTGTGGTACAAACTCCACAAGTTCCAGACTGTCCTTTATCTTCATCAGGATGTCGAAGTTGTCCCGGCCTCGCACCTTCAAAACAATCCAAAAAATATTAAAATTAACTCAACAAGGCATTTGAAAAACACACACACACACACACACACACACACACATTAAAAAAAATCAAACTGCATGCTTCCACACTCACTGGAATATAATACATCTCCTCTTCTCCATGTCGCCTCTTCTTGATGTTGATGCAAGGGCCTGTAATATTGGCTGGAGTCTGCTTGAAATCTGTGAGATCAGAAACAGAAGCTCCAGTTAGAACCAGAGATGACATGATATGAAGAATGTTCAGAGTCCTTGTTGAAATACATTGGCTCACTTCGTTTATTGGCATTTCCATTTTTGGCCACGCTCTCATTTAGTGCCTGTTGCTCCCTGAAATGATCCTCGTCTGCTTTGCGGTCTCGACCGGGACAGGCACAAATCCGGCCTTCAAACGAACGCCTGCCGAGAACCTGTCCACTGAGGAAAAACACGGAAGACTTCAGCTTTAACTTCACACTTAACCAAACTATTCAGCCTGTGTCATGCTCATAAGTTGCATGTTGTTGACATGCAGTTCACAGATAAAATCATACATTTCAATGCTCAATTCTAAGCACATTTATGTTTACTTTTGCTGTTCTGAAGCAAAACCATTTAAAGGGATAGTTCATGCTAAATTAAAATTCTGTCATCATTTACTCACCCTCAAGTTGTTCCAAACCTGTATGAGCTTCTTTCTTCAAGATATTCTGAAGAATGTGTGAAACTAAACCATTAATGGTCCCCATTGACTTCCACAGTATTTTTTATTATTTTTCCATACGATGGAAGTCAATGGCTACCAGAAAGAATCTGGGCTGCGTTTCCCAAGAGCTTTGTAAGCCTAAGAAGTTCGTAAAAACGATAGTACGACTGATCTTAATATTACGGCCTGTTTCCCAAAAGCATCGTAACTTAAGTAGCACTTGAAAATCATGGTAGATCTGCGAGTGCTCTGGAGTAATCGTAAAGCCCTAAGTGCATCGTAAGAAGACAGATTTATGCGGACACCTGCAGGACAATCGGCAGATTACATCTTTAACTTTATTCAAGTGCAATGTGATTATAATATAAAGTTTTGATTGTGCTTTATTGTACACTTTAAATGAATTTATTAATGAAATTATTAAAAAAGGGCAGAAAAAAATTGAAATACACATCTAAATTAAACGACTGAACAAAAAAATGAATATAAGAAGTAATGTAAGAAATATGC